TACAATTTTTCAGTCACGAGATACGAGACACGAGGCATGAACCCGGGGATCCTCCATACCATACAATTTTCCAATCACGAGATACGAGACACGAGACACGAGGCATGAGCCCGGAGATCCTCCGTACCATACAATTTTCCAGTCACGAGATACGAGGCAGGAGATACGAGCCCTGGGATCCTCCGTACCATACAATTTTCTAGTCACGAGACACGAGACACGAGGCACGAGCCCGGGGATCCTCCGTACCATACCATTTTCCAGTCACGAGACACGAGCGTAGAGATCCTGCTTCCCATACAGATTATCCCGTTACGAGACACGAGACACGATATACGAGGCACGAGGCACGTTTTGGGGGTGCGAATATCCACAGCGACAGCACAAACTCATTTTCATGACGGACATCATCAAGATGTTCCGTCAGATCAACGTTCATCCGAGTGATTAGCCGCTTCAGCATCCTCTGGTCAGATGTTTTCTCAGCACACTCTCAAACCTTCCAGCTCACCACCGTCACCTACGGAACACGCTCAGCACCATTCTTGGCTGGAAGAGTACTTAATCCGCCCGTCGAGGACGAAGGGAAGAACATCCCGCTTGCAGTAGAACCTCTCACCAATGGGCGCTATGTAGATGACATCTGTGGAGGCGCAGAGAATCATCAAGAACTTAGAATAGTAGCACAGCTGGTCCGAGGGTTCTGCAACGCTGGTCAGTTTCCACTAGCAAAATGGCACAGCAACAGTCCAAACCTTCTCTCTTCATTAGAGCCCGAGAAAATCTCACATGAGCAGCATGAATACGAGGACTCGCAGACCAAGATACTTGGGTTAACTTGGTTGCCAAGAACGGATCATTTCGTCTTCTCATCGAGAGCACCGAACAAAGCCATCATCACCAAGAGGACGATGCTCTCAGAGGTGGCCCAACTTTTCGACCCACTTGGCTTTATTTCTCCAGTCGTCATCAAGACGAAAATGCTCATGCAGAGCTTGTGGTCCAAGAAAGAACCAGAATCCATTCCATGAAGAACTCACACATCTGGAGGAGATCAATATTCCCAGATGGCTTGGACTCACCAGAGCAGCTTCAGTAGAGGTACACGGCTTCGCTGACGCATCCAACCTAGCAATGGCAGCAGTCGTCTACGTCAAGATCATCACCAAGTAAGAAGTACGGATCACTCAGGTCAGCGCGAAGAACAAGGTAGCATCAACTCGAGCACTCGTCATTCCGAGGCTAGAACTCAACGCAGCAGTGATATTAGCTAAGCTCACCCAGGACACTCTCAAACAGCTAAATATCACTGATGCACCAGTCCTCCTCTGGAATGATTCAGCGGCAGCGTATCACTGGATCTCCTATCATCCCTCGCGATGGAAGGAATATGTGAGGAACAGAGCCTTCAAGATACAGGAAGCAGCACCTCAAGCATCTTGGAGACATGTTCCGGGGAAGGACAATCCAACGGACTGTGCTTCTCGCGGAGTCTTAGCAGTACAACTCAAAAATCACCCTCTGTGGTGGTCAGGTCCAGCATGGCTTCAGCACGAATCATCAACCAGGCCATCACTCAACCCAAAACCCGAATCATCTGTCGACCTTGAAGAGAAATCACGAGCACTTGTCACGGCACAGGTTCAGCGGCCGGAAGTCTGGGATATGATTTACCGGTACTCATCATTGACGAAACTCATCACGGTCACCGCAATCTGTCTGAAATTCATAGCACGTCTCAAGAAAGTCTCAGAATATTCATTAAGCACGACACTCACAGCGGAAGATTTGGAATCAGCCAGACTACGCTGAGTGAAGATCTCGCAGCAAGCTCACTTCAAAAGAGAGCTTCTTCTCATCAGCAAGAATAAAATCTTGCCAAGAAACCACCCAATGAGCAGACTCAACGCGCAGATCTATCACCAGGGTATTCTCAGACTATCAGGACGACTCAAATTTGCACAGTTGGAACCAGAAAACATCCATCCAGCTATCATCCCGCGAGACTCACAGCTAGCACGACTCATCATCAGCGAAGCACAAGAGAAGACTCTTCACGGAGGAATTCAAATCACCTCAACGCTGAGATGCAACTCCTGAGATGCGTCATCTGCGCGCGTCAACAAGGAATCAGAGCACAACTCATGGGTCAACTTCCAGCAGCATGTCTCATCCCTTCAAGAGCATTTCTCAATACGGGAGTTGACTACGCAGGCCCAGTCGCATTGAGAACTTGGAAGGGACGTGGTCATAAAACAGTCACAGGATGGCTAGCCATATTTGTCTGTATGACCGCAGTTCGTCCGCAGTTCATCTAGAAGTCGTGTCAGACTACTCAACAGAGGCCTTTCTAGCAGCCTACCGCAGATTCATAGTATAACATCGCTAGCCCGGTCAATTCATTTATTTCACGTCTAGTATTCAAATCCATCTTTATAATGGTTTGGGAATGATTGGGATAACATTAGTATTCGAATATCTTCAAAGGTACTATGTACTCCTTTGAAGCAAAACCGTGTAAGTTGTGGGTTTCTGAGTGGAGTGTTGCTGTGGTCCCTTCTTATTATATCCATCTGGTTTATTATTAAATGAAATTTAATGGATATAAGGTATTCTTTCGTCAATTCCGTCGTACCATCTTACGACAATAAATTAATTTCATATGGTAATACTCTCATTTATTGGAGAATTAAAATTCTTTTCTTTCAAATGAAGTAATCAAGTTCTTAAAGGAACCAACAGTTTCCTGGTGAAGAATTCAATCCTCACCAACTCTTGGCGTAACCCAGAACTCACGACGAGGACGTAGTCGATGGAGAGTCCCAAAATGAAATTATATAAAAATTTATTAATTACGTATATTCGAATTTAATCGATGGCCTATGGTATTGGTGTCCCATTGCTTACCAAACGATTTCCAATCATCCTCTGCTTTCAGAATTTATTAATCTTAATATGTCCCCGCTAAGGACCCTAAATCCAGATTCATCAGCAGACGAGACACCTAGCACAACTCTTGCTCAACGACGAAACTCAGTGGTCGTTCAATCCACCAGGAGCACCATATTACAGAGGAAAATGGGAAGCAGCTGTAAAATCAGTCAAGCACCATCTCACCAGAACAACTCAAGACTCAACACTCACCTATGAAGAGCTCACCACCCTCCTTCCCCAGATTAAAGCCTTTCTCAGCTCACGCCCGTTAGTAACTCTCACACATGACCCTGATGACCTATCAGCTCTCACTCTACGTCATTTTCTCATCGGCGAAGCACCCAACACAGTATCGGAGCCAGCACTAGATCATCTCAACATCAACAGACTCTCCAGATGGCAACTCATCCAGAACAGACTACAAGCCTTCTGGAGACACTGGTCCACGAGCTACCTACAGAACAAACAGGCCATCACTAAGTGGCATCATCCGAACCACAACATCAAGGTCGGAGCGCTAGCACTTCTCACCGATGAACGCTTTCCGCCTTCAAAGTGGCCTTTAGCATGTATCATCGCACTGCACCCTGCACCCCATGGATTTACGCGAGTAGTCATAATTAAAACTGCCACAGCTACTCTGGGTTGGCCCATCACCAAACTGGCTCTGCTGCCAGTTTCATCCAATGACTCTGAGCAATTTTAATCATTTTTTTGTTTCAGAAAAAAATCCTCATCAACCTGGATTGCTAACGGTGGGGGAGGATGTTACGAATCCTGCCGTGTTTGCTCACACACCAGTCACTCTCAATCAATCAAATAGTGATCTTTCACATCAGGCTCATGCGGCAGCACCTGACGGACACCTGTCAACGACAACGATTCTCACATTCCGCCAAAAGCAATTCTCCCGGGCACTTGTCGTCGTGGTCTCATTGCGCGCGTATCACAGTAGTTTTATCACAGCCCAGCATCACAGTAGTTATCACAGCACAGAATCACAGAATTTATCACAGCACTTAATCATAGTAGCTATCACAGCACTTAATCACGGCAGTTTTTGCATTTCAATTAGAATCCAGTACAAAACTCACAATTAAACGCGACAGTGAACTAGATAGGTGCATCACAGCGCGGCTTCAGCTTGATACTAGCTTTGCTTTTCTTTCACTATAGTATCATCAGCTATAATAGACTTCTGTTCAATGCATCTCGTGTAGTGCTAATTTTTCCTGTACATAGTGTATACTAGTGGAAATATAAAACGTTATTCTGTGACCAAGACAAAGTTAGTACGTTATTTTATTTTCATCCAGTGATTTCTCAATCTTCAACCGATAAAACTCTCGCGAATAACAATCTATCTTCGGCATCCAGCAACAATATTGATTTCTTTATTTACACAGTGAGACCTCGGGCCCCGAGAAGAGCGCCACCTCCTTCACCGAGTTCAATCGTCGTGATCTCGCACTATCTGTATTCTGTACTTGCTGTACTGCCCAGTGTTTACCCCAGGACACTACAGCCGCTTGCATTTATCATATTGTTATGATGGATTTGTTATCTTACATAAATGTTGTTAGTTTTTATCGCGATTAAATATCATGATTTGTATTGATTATGTGTTGTATATTCATTTCATCCAAAAATTCCATGATTGACAGTCGATTAACAATCGGTATGGATATGAACAACTGAATAAACTCGGAACGATTTCGAAAATCTGGAAAAGTGTTGTTCCTAACAAGTTATGTAGTTTCTCTTGTTGTATTTATTTTTAAAAAATCCATACTGTAGATTGAAGAATGGGCGATATTGATATTTCAATTGAATAAAATAACTTGAGTGCAAAAAAAATAGACCTGAAAATCCTTGCCTCAATCTACGCCTAATACAGAATTGAAGATTCTACGGAGGCAATTGTAGTCACGAAACATAAATACCACGTCAATTAAGAGAAAATAATATGGGGTGATAAGTAACACCAGTGTATTTGCAGAAGATAATTTTGAGAATTATTGTACTAATAATAGATATAATAGAAGGATTTGAATAATTTCTCCAACCGTCTGATTCATCACGTAGCACGTTATTCTTTCCATCATCTTCGACGTTACATGTTTGGAACTCGGAGAATGACCATGGCACGCAGCAACCTTACCAGAAGAAAACAAAAGTGGCAAAGACTTATCATAGAACTGCTTTTCAAGTTTGAGATACTGAAAGCCGTACTTTGGGACCAGTACGTCGAATGTTGTCAGTGTGAGCGTCTCAGGGAGTTTTTCTGTTATGCCCCGCACCATCTCCAATACTTTGTCTGCACAAAATAAAAACAAGAGTTGTATTCATGAAGAAATGCATAATTGTATGAGAATGGGTATGTACTAACCTTGAATGATGGATCCATAGGCATCACTAACATCAGCAGTCACAAAGTACATCGGTTTTCCATTTTTCTTCCCAGCCTTAACAATTGGTTCCCAAAAGCTGTACAATTTACTTTCATGAAAATCTTCAGATTTCAATGCCCAAGCCTGCTTGAGCAATTGATTGAGGGTCAGTGATTCGTTCTTCTGATCGTTGGTTGGTCTGAAAAACACAATTCTGATGAATATTTAATAACTTCATTTGAAGTGAGGCAAGGAAATAAGTGAACTCATGATTAGACATAATTCTTCTCTTTTACATACATTTCTATCTGCGAAAAAAAGCTAGATATACAAGTCGTTCGTTAAAAAATTTTGCTATACTTCTGAACTTTTGGATTACTATGTTGTATGATTTCTACTGAAAAGTGAAGACTTGGGTTGTAATTTATTGACAGGGAACGGAGGCTAAAAAGCCTGTCTTGAGATTTATCCTAGAGCTTTCAAATTTATTATTATGTCGATTTATGGGTGCGTCGCAGCGCTTACGACGCGACCAACAGAGTGCTAGAGGATAGACCGACAAGAGTCAAATGTAAAATGGGTCGAAATATTGTTTACCATTGTAAACGATATTCAATGTCCATTGAAGAAAATTCTGAAAAAATGTATTCAACGATGAAAAATCCGAAAAAGTATGGGGATGTCAACTGAATTATTTCTTCGTTTCCAACCGGTTGTATCCATATTGAAGTTCCTCCTATTCCACCAGGTCATTTTACGATTCACAGCAACATTACTCTCCAAAAATGAATTAACTCATCAAATTTTCACTTTTTGCCAACGTTTCGAGTGGTAAATCTCACTCCTACTCAGGGCAACACGTTTATTTACATCTATTTACAATTACTATTATATTGTTTACTCCAACTCTCTACAGTCAAGCATCCCTAACCTGCCATAATTGCACTGACATGACCAGCATACTATTTTATCACATTGATTCACCTAATTGTTTCATGAAATATTTAATTACTCATATTTTCAACTAATAACACATCCCTCTCCCCTCGGACGAAAAAACATTAATTCTTACGTCATTATGCATTTAAAAAACCTTTGCGTCCCGACCAGTCAGGAGGCCAGTAAATCATATATGTATATTGTGATTGTCTTCCTGACTGGTTGTGACGCAAAGGTTTTTTAAATTCATAATAACGTAAGAATTAATGTTTTTCCGTCCGAGGGGAGGAGGGTGTGTTATAAATTAAAAATATGAGTAACTAAATATTTCATAAAGACTATTTTCAACTATATGGCTTTTACACCTTGTACAGTTTTTTCAAAAATAAAAAACAAAAAAACAAACAGATTTTGCCAGATAACAGTGCGAACAGATGTCATCGTCTCTCCCCTCCTCACGATTCGCGAGTAAGAAAGCACTTAATAAATTGAGAAACATTTTTAAGACATCACGGTAGAATTTAAGAAAATTTCCGGGAATTGGCAATCACTGTTTGTGTTGCAGATGTGTCCGTTTCCGATGATCCATCCTGCCACTAGTCCAGTTCTCTGCATGCCCATGCTGAAGTCTCAAACTCGTTCCAAAAAAATTGTTCCATAGGGTTTCCCTTAACATTTCCAGGCACACAAGTATGTTGCCGTATTTTTTCCCACCACCTTGACCTCACGTATCGAGCTTCCTCCAAATTCTGCCCACGGCCTCATTCCATGCTGTCCGATTCCACGATAACACTTCCACATGGGGTATGTGCCTCCCGGAAGACGATGGACACTTTTTCCTCAATAGTTTCCAGCCTCCTTTCACCAGTTCCAAGCGTCTTTCTTTTCAAAAAACTTCCCAAAATTGGAGGACGCGGGGGACGGCCCATCCGTATGCATTGCCGTTACCGACCGATTAAAAGAACAAGGCGTTTTATATTTGTTTTTCAGTTATCGAGAAAAAATGAATCGATTTGTTTTTTCTCGATGAATGACGAAAATAATCGATTGTATACCAATCGATTGTGGTGACAGTTTCTCTCAGTTGTTTTTGTGAGAAGTTAGCCGAGAAAAAATACGGAAAGAAATTCCCACGGAAAAAAGTTTGAGAATATTATTATAGGAGTGTGAGAATATTATGAGAGAGAAGAAATATCGATGTGTATTTTAATGAATAAAGAAGAGAAAATTGTGCTATAATTAAGAATTGAAGTGTGTTAAAATTAAGACGTTTTTATTATTAATACTGCAGTGACATTTCGTGTTCTTCCTGGTGGATTATTATTAATAACTGCAGTGAATAACTGCAGTGACATTTCGTTGTCTTCCTGGTGAAAATGATGTAAGTAAATTTCTTTCAACATAAATCCTTCGGCGTAATAAAAAAGTATAGTAAAAAAAGAAATAATCTTAAAGTTATCGAGTTTTATATATGTTTACATACATCCGTTAGCTTCTTTTTCAGTTGAAAAAAAAGTCGGTAGTCGTGAACTACGTAAAGAGAAGAGAAAAGAAAGGGGAAAAAAATAACTCGTGAATCGTAGAGTAAAATTGCCTCCTTTATTAAACGTTCAAATATTTCTCCAATTCTCCAACATCAAAACGAGATTTGATTAATTTATATCGTATCACTTGGTTAGATGATATTTTTGACAATTAAACATGATTTGCTTGATTTCATTTTCTACAGCTTTTTTTCCCTACAAGAAAGAGAAGGACAGAGATAAAAATTAGCTGTAATGGATGTTGTTAGAGATCAACTGTTCTTAAATATTGGAAAAATTTCCATTTCCATTGAATAAAACATGTTCTCATGTGATTTTTATTTTTCTCCTTTTTTCAGACCTGGTTTGAAGCAAATACGAGAAGGAGGTTTCGAATTTATCTTGTTATCAACACACCGGAGAGTCTGCTGGCGGAATAATCAATTTGTATCGATGAATGTGGTGATTTATTGAAGAAATTGATGATATTAATGGGATAATTATGATGATGATGTTGATGTTGATGATGATAATAATAATAATGATGGTGATGATTGGTCGATGAGGAAGAAGATAACTTTGATTTTTGATTTTATGAAATGTTTATGATTTGATGATATACTAATTGATAAAATGAATGATAAATTGGAAATGATGGAAATATTGTGATGTATGCCCATGAAAGTTTTAGATGAGTGAGATCAAGTTACAGAGATTTTAATTGGTCTTGAATGTACGAGAATTTGCATTGAATTTGAATTTGTACGAGACAAATCTACTCAATCGAGTTACTTGAGAGTGTAGCTGACTTCCGACAGCATGAAATTTCCAGATTTGAAAATTCGAATGCATCATATGACCTGTCAAATGATAGTCATGTCATCCTGTTCTTGCGGTTCGGATTTTTTTTTCTAAATTTCAATTCTTTTTGAATTTTTATATTTTATGGTAAACGAAAATAGCTTCTTAATGTTTTTCTATGGTATTTGTAATCAGACCGATTTTCAGCGCTAAAGCGCTGATTGTTCGTAAACGCGCGCAACCGCGCGCGTTATGGACCTAGTATTTCATAAAGCAATTAGGTGAATCTATGTAATAAAATAGTATGCTGGTCATGTCAGTGCAATTATTGCAGGTTGAGGTTGCTTGACTGTAGAGAGTTGGAGTAAACATCGAAATAGTAATTGTAAATCGACGTAAATAAACGTACTGCCCTGAGGAGTGAGATTTACCACTCGAAACGTTGGCAAAAAATGAAAATTTGATGAGTTAATTCATTTTTGGATACTTTAATGTTGCTGTGAACCGTACAATGGCCTGGAGGAATAGGAGGAACTTGAATATGGGGATATCAACATGTTCAGCAAAACTGAAATCATGCTTGAAAAAAAGTGATCAATTTGAATGAAGTATTTTGGATATTTAGTTTTTAATTTTGAAATATTAAGTAACTATAGAGATCGTCTGTTGAGAATTTAATGTAATTTAATATAATTCACTTACATGGGTTCGTAAATTGGCCGCAGTCCATCACTTTTTACATGAAATTTCACAAATGCTAGTGGAATACCATCACTCGAAAGATATGAAGACTCCTCAAGTACTGTACCATCTATCAACTCATGAATAAAATCATCACGATACTTGATCCACGTCTTTACAGGAATCAGAATCCGCTCACGGTCATGTTTCATAGACACCTGGTAGAAATAGTTGTTGACAATGATCTTGATGTAATTGCTTAGGAACCAACTCACGAACGTCTTCATGACGCGGGCTTTGGTCTTCATGTCGTCAATAATCTCTAGCCATCCTATCGCATTTAGATCCAAATTTTCAGTAATACTGCCAATTTGGAAAAATTCTCGTCTGATAGAAAATATGTAATTCAGAGTTCCTTTCTGTATCGCCTTGACATTACCAAGAGATCCGAATAAATCCCTAGGTGCCACTACTCCTATTATCATGCTGAAAAACTTCCTCAATGCATTCTCAGGCATTTCGACCTGAAATCTGGGCTTGGCCTGGTTAGTCAAGCTGTTTATAATGTAGAAATACTTGAACTCAGCGTGATTCAATGCGAAATTCTGCATGATAGGCTCCAATGCAGGGAGACACGGCTGCGCAAAATCGTTGCAGTTCTTGAAGATACTCGTCAACCACCCCTTCCTTTCGGTTTGATTCCACATATGATGTTTCGGGAACACTACGACAGATATATTTTCAGGATGCTCCTTTTTTCTTCTCTTTTCATCGCGAGCCACTGCTCCTCCTATTTTGGGCTTGTAACAAAGCGTCTCTGGATCACTATCATCGATTGCAGATGCAGATAGATTAGTATGAAGATCATCAGCTACGGATAAATTTTTCTAAATTAATTCTGATTCCCCATTATTAAGAATTGGAATTGGGGCATTGTATCAAATTTGTTGTATGAATATTTTCATTTGAGAATGTAGTAAAAAAAATATTTGACAAATTCCAGAAGTTATAGTTAACTGAAAAAAAAATACCCGCACTATGAAATTCATATCATATCGGCATTGCCCCTCGTCTATCGTTTTTTTCTTCATTTTTTAAAATAGAAGATCAGTGTCATATTTTTTTATGTGGCATCGTGCAGAAGGTGAGCCTGAAGCACGCTGCACTTCGCGCTAGTAAAAAATATTATATAATAGATCACTCGGGCATAACTTCACTTCGTTTTCAACGGATATGAGTACAGACCTCACTTTCGGCTCGGCCTGTAAAATTCACATTCGTCGAAAACGAAATTTGTGCCTTTGTACTCTATTGTACTAGGGAAGACCGGGGCAAAGTTGGGTAGCTAAGAAAAAGAGGCGAGTGTCACAATTTCTATCATATTTGTATTGCTTTTTAGCAATCACTATTCATTTTCTAAAATTGTCAACTCGCGTCTCCTACGTATTACAGTTGGGGGCACAGTGGGGTAGTGTCCAAACATTTTTAAATAATTATAAATGTCGTTTGTTTGTTTTACAACTTTCGAATCTCCAAAAAACGACAGTGAAACTGAAATCGGTAGGGCAAGTCCCGATGAATCGATTCTTCAATTTGGGGCGCGATAGGGTAGGCATTTTTCCTCAATTTCATTTTTTTTCTAGAAATTGAAATTTCCGAATTTATACATTAGATTTTTCTTATTCATCTTAGTTTTAGGAACTGAAACCCTAATACTTCTAATTGACTGTTTTTATTCTCTTCCTTTAGCAGCAGTGACGTTTATATCAGTAAACAGAGAGTATGCCCAGCAAGTGAGATTCCATTCTTCTCATTTTTTATTTTTTCCGGCGTTATCGATCGTCAGGGTGTAGGGCGGTCTACTAGCCGTCCTTCTCTTCCTCATCGATACATTTCGCATTGATGAGCCGACGTCATGTTCCCCCCTCTACCTGCCTGAACACCTACAGAGGATTATCAAATATTCTATTTCCGCGTATTCTCTTATATATTTCGGCAATTTGAGGTTTCCGTAAACCTCAGTATACCTGTACGACTTGTTGAATAAACACGTATTTGAATACCCAGTCAACGGCCTTTTAAATTCTCAACCGACAGTAATATTATTTGTAGTGATAACTAGCTTATCCACTACAATTTGGTATACCTGCATGACCTGTTGAATAAACACGTATTTAAATACCCAGTCAACGGCCTGTTAAATTCTCAACAGACAGTAATATTATTTGTAGTAATAACTAGCTTATCCGCTACAATTTGGTGACCCCGACGTGATCATACTGAGTGATTTTTTAATCAACGTGATTTCGAGTGACGTGAGTTATTTTTGTGCGGATGAATTTTTCTCGTTTTTTCCGTGGTGGAAATTCATCTTTCGATTTCCGCGTTCTCTCATTTCTCGTAGAGCGGTCTTCGGAGTAATTACCGCATCATCACTTCTGAACATTTATTCCTCTGTTGGTTGTGTCCCAACTGAACTGATCAGTTTTATTATTTTCCGCAAAGTATCACGAGTGAGGGTTAACGGTTTTTCGCGCCGCATTTTCCTCGGTTCCTTGTGTCGGTGGTCAGTTTCAGTTTCGAGAACGTTCGAAACGTCTTTTGTCGAGGGCATTCACCCGAGCAATTGACCTTCCCAAACAGCAGTGTACATTTCTATTGTTATTGTGTGTGCGCTGTCTTTGTGTGTGTGTTTCTCAGCCCGCTGACATATTGCGGAGCACCCAGAGACGTTGTACTGTGTCAGTGTGAGAATAAAGACTTATTCTATTCGATATTTTTCTTTGCTTTCTCTCTCCTTTTTGGTTAGACTGTATTCTCGGCTGAGAATTTTTCTTTCTCGTTCGGTTTTCTCGTTCGCGCGCATTAGAGTTTGTGATGACGGACCCTGGTGAAGGGAAATCAGCTGTCCTTGCCCCAGCAATGCCACCAGCGATTAAGGCTCCGCCTTTTAGCACGAAAAGTCCAGCGCTGTGGTTCACGCAGATGGAAGCCCAGTTCATCGTGTTTGGCATTGTCATTGAAGAACAGAAATTCTACCGGATTATTGCCTCGCTGGGTACCGACATTTGCAGAGAGGTAGAGGACATCTGTGTTTCGCCACCCATTGACACTCCATACCAGAAGTTGAAGAATGAGCTAATCTCACGGTTCACACGAACCAAGGACGCCTGCATGCGCCAGCTGCTCGATCAAGAGTCGCTCGGCAGCCGCATTCCTTCAGCGCAGCTCCGTCATTTGCGTAGTCTGATCAGCAGAGTGGGTGGTGAGGTCATCAGGTCGAAGTGGCTTTCCCGTCTTCCTGATAAGATGGAAGCTTTGTTGGTGCAGGAAGCAGAAGATGAGCAGCTGGACAAGCTAGCCATTCGAGCGGACAGGCTTTTCGAAATTTTCAATCCTGATAAGGCCACTGTCGCTGCAGTCTCTTCGCACACTGCGGACTCGGCGAAGGATCGTCAAATCGCTGAACTCACCAGGCAGATCGCGGCTCTTCAGTCGTCATTCAAGGACTTGAAGAGGTCGAGGTCAAGGTCGAGGTCTAAGCCAAGAGGGTTCAGAACTCGGTCTCGAAGCTCTTCACGCAAGCTTTCTGCCAGCACCGATACCTGCTGGTCACAAGAAATTTGGCCAGAATGCGACAAACTGCACCCCTGGATGTAAGTTTCAGGGAAACTCCAGGGAGGGTCACTAGCGGCAGAAGTTGACTCTCATCTGCAGTCTCGCCGTCTCTTCATCAGGGATTCTCACTCTGGCATTGAGTACCTGATCGACACAGGCTCGGATTCATTGGTATTCCCAGCCACACGACTCAACAAACCACCCAAGCGTTCAGGGTATCAGCTGTTTGCGGGGAACGGCTCACCAATCGACACCTACGGATTCGCTGTCATTCCACCTGATCTAGGGCTCCGAAGAAATTTCACCTGGGGATTCATCGAAGCCAACGTCTCTCACCCGATCATCGGTGCTGATTTTCTGTACCATTTCCACCTGGTACCAGATCTGACGGAGCATTGCCTCATTAATCTGTCGAACGGTCTCGAGGTCAAAGGTGCGATGAATGTTATCTTCTGCTCCTCCATCAAGTCACTCCAGTCATCTGATATCTCGGAATGGACTGAGCTTCTCAAAGATTTCCCGGACATCACTTGACCTGATGGAAGAATCAAGGCCACTTCGCATCACACTCTGCATCACGTCGAGATCACCAAATTGTAGCGGATAAGCTAGTTATCACTACAAATAATATTACTGTCGGTTGAGAATTTAAACGGCTATTGGCTGGGTATTTAAACCCTGTTTACTCAACAAGCCGTACAGTTATACTGAGATTTACGGAAACCTCAAATTGCTGAAATATATAAGAGAATACACGGACAGAGAATATTTGATAATCCTCTGTAGGTGTCCAGGTAGGTAGAGGGGCGAACATGACGTCGGCTCGCCAATGCGAAATGTATCGGTGAGAAAGAGAACGACGACTAGTAGACCGCGCTACAAGGGGATGAGTTTAGAAAATTTATTCGACTATTTAAGATTAGATCATTGCGAGAATTCAGTTTTAATTAAAATACCTAAGATGGTGTCTCGCCCCAGTGTTTGAAAGATTTGAAAGAATTTCAAGGATTCTTCCATTTTTTTAAATTTTTCCTTAGTACGATTCGATTTTTTTAGCTTTTTTTGATTTGTTATTGATCCCTGATCGACCCCTCGTCAACTCCTTGAATTTCTTAATGTTGGTCTTTTTTTTATGTGCTCCACTATGTCCTGCCACCTCGCTTTGCCCGTCTGTCCTATTATAATTTGCCCATTTCACAACAAAAAAAAACAGAAATCTCCAATTCGCAATGAAGATGACATTGCTTTTTCCTACCAGTTGCATCATCGATGTGTTGTTCAACAAAAGCTCTCTCTTCATGTGACATGGAATCTGTGTCATCGTCTCGTTGCTCAAATTTCTTCGTCTTGGAGTCTTTTTCTAACAGATATCTCCTGCATTGCCTGAGAATCTCCGCAGATGAAATGAAATATCCTCCTATAATTGTCTTCTTTACATTGATGGAGCCTCGTTCTAAAACTCTAACACATGTGAAACACAACGGATCAACATAAATGAATCATGCAAGATGAATTCTTCAGTGAAAAAAATTACATTCATTACTACATTACTCATTACTACATCTTAATGTAATTACAGTTTGAAGGGCCGATTAATTCACTAACCTAAATTATATCGCTTTGTCTAAATTTCGAACCTGGCCTCCTACGTCTAGTCTGACCGTTAGTCCATGGAACTGAGAGAGCGAGAGAGCGAGAGAGAGCGAGAGAGAGAGAGAGAGAGAGTGAGAGAGAGAG